AGATTCGGACCCTCACCACCCTCCAATCCTTCCGCGCCACTTTAAAGATCTGGCTGTCCCGGCTGGCCTGGGGTTAAGCCTCTAACCCCACCCGAATTGTGTGACTGTTGTGCTTTCTTTTAATATGTTGTATTGTTTTCGTGTTTGGAAAATTGTTTGTCCTTCCCCCCTCCCCTTTTTGAACTGTGAGCCGCCCTGAGTCCCCCCAGGGAAAAGGGCGGCATACAAATAAAGGGAAAACTAAAACTAAACTAAAACTACACTCTAGTTTAATGAAAAGATGGACTAGGAGCAACATGATAGCAGCGTTGCAATATCTCAGAGGCTGCCACAAAGAAGAGGGAGTCAAGTTATTCTCCAAAGCACCTGAGGACAAGACAGGACAAGAAACAATGGATGGAAACTAATCAAGGAAAGAACTAACCTAGAACTAAGGAAAAATTTTGTAACAGTGAAAACAAAGCAATGGAACGGCTTTGTGAATACTCCAACACTGGAGGTTTTAAAGAAGAGATTGGACAACAATTTGTCTGAAATGGTATAGGATTTCCTGCTTGAGCAGGGGGTTAGACTAGAAGATCTCCAAGGAGACCCTTCAAACTGTTATTCTATTATCCTGATAGTGTTATGGCAGAGCAGCAGTTCCCATCTCCAAGACCAAGCAAATCCTCTGCTAGCATACAATGCAGTATCTGAATTGATACATTCCCCCTGCAATCATTTCCCAGGATCAGGGTTGCAAATGTCGCTCCCGTGAAAGACTGAATAAGCCACAGTCCTCAATTTATGACCCACATGCAGTCATTATTGATCGACATTCCTCCCCCCTCCCCTTTCCAATCCCTTTTAACAGGTAGCCAGGCATCTTGACGTGACACTGAGCCAACCCTGGCTGCCAATCAAGGAGAATATATGTAGCTCAAGGATCTTTGTTGCTCTCTTGAGCTTGCTTGTTTTCTTGCAGACGTTTCATAACCCAAGCTAGGTAACATCATCAGTAGGGAGGGCGGTTTGCTGTCCGTTTAAGTTCTGGTGGCTTTTCCTGTTGGTGGAAGGGTGGTCTTAGAGATTCTTTGGTTGGGCCGTTTACTGATGGTTCTTTGGCAGCTTCTTGATTACTTGATTGTTGGTCTGATGTTAATCTTGGAGTTAATCTAATGCTGATCTGGGTGCTGCTTGCTGCTGGAGAGGTCTTTGGATCTTTTTTGTTCTATTTTGGGCTGGTTGCATAGTATATAGATCAGTGATGGCTAACCTTTTTGTCATCACGTGCCTAAATGTGTGACACTACACGCTCGCATGCCCACTCATAATGCAGTGCACCCCGCCCCCCTAAGCATGTCCATGCGCTCCCCCCACTCTCTCCCCCCCCCCACGCATGTGCACCCTGTTTTGGGCCTAGCAGGTCTCCCTGAAGCATCCTTGGACCAAAAACGGGCCATGCAGGGAGAGGTGCCACATCCCCCTGCAGAGTTTTTTCCTGAACGCCATCACTCTGCTAAACAAATAATTCCCTCAACAGTGTCAAACTATTCACCAAGGCTGCATTATTATTGCTATTAGTCTTCTCATTGTTCCTATCACACATCTCCTCCCACTCATGACTGTAACTTTGTTGCTTGTATCTTTACGATTTATATTGATTGTTTCCTAGTATGATTTGATTGCTTATTTGTACCCTATGACTATCATTAAGTGCTATACGGTATGATTCTTGACGAATGTATCTTTTCTTTTATGTACACTGAAAGCATATGCACCAAAGATAAATTCCTTATGTGTCCAATCACACTTGGCCACTAAAGAACTCTATTTCTATTCTACCTGTTTATTGATGACTGATTTGTCAGGATGCCAAACAACCCAACCAAAGAATCTCTAAGACCACCAAACCCACCAACACTGACATGGCAACCCACCAGAATATAAACTGACAGCAAACTCAATTCCTTACTAGCACCGATGATGTTACCTAGTTTGGGTCACCAAACGCCTGCAAGAAAACAAGCAAGCTCAGAGAGCAAGAAAGACAATTCAATCCTGGCTGATCATCGGCCAAGCAAAACTCGATTAGCCCAGGCCTGGATAGGAGACCACCAGTAAAGCCAAGCTCGTGGAAAACCTCTGTCCAGCGCTTAGGGAACAATAAGGACGACTCCTTGAAGCCCCCTCCCCCGGGAAGGCAAAGGACGGAGGGGAGGGTTGACTCTCGCCTGCCCGATCCCGCCTCCCCTGTAGCACCACTTTTTGGGTGGACCCCGCTTTTTCCTCCCGAGGCAGAAAAAGACCTGGAGCTCCCCGGGGAGAAAAACTGGTAAGAGGCAACCCGAAAACAATATGGACGCACGTCCCCGGAGTACGTCCCCCCCCCCCACTCTCCCCCGGTGCCCTGCCTCGCCTCTCTCCGCGTTGCAAAGCCGGCCCAAAGACGCTGACCTTCCCCGCTCCCGCCGCGGGCTTCGATCTCTTGTCCGCCCGCCCGGTGGGTCTTCCTCTCGGTTCTCCCGGGCTGACCTTCCCTCGCCGGGCGGGCGGGCGAGCGGACGAGCAACAAAGGTTAGTCCACCTGCAGTCGCCGCCAGTCGCGGACTGAGCTGTCCGCTGGGAGAATGGAAAGGGGGCGGGACAGGAAGAGTCCGCGCCCCCTCCCCTTCTAAAGGGGCCCTGGCCGGCATTTCCTGTTCCCTCCTCTCTAGGAATGGTGGATCCGCTGCTTTAACTATTTCAGCAGGGGGAGAGACAAGGATGGGGAGGAAGCGGAGGATAGAGCGCCCACGGGGGAAATCAGGATTTGGGGGTGGGGGGCGATGACAGGCGTGGTGATCTGAGCGATTGATTTTGCAGGGATGGGGGATGAAAGCCCAGCAAGTGGGAAAGCTTGGAAACGGAGATTGTAAACTTTCTTAAAGCATCGTTAGGAAAGTGTGCATGATAACCAGAGAGGGGTGGGCTCGCAAATCTCTGGCTGCTGAATCAACATCCCAATCTTTGCCTTAAAATTTAGGGAATGTCCTCTGCACCTTCCATGACGCAGCGGTATCTTATGCAGGTGTATATTATTGTTATATGCACAGTTGTTTGCGCCCCGTTATTTATGCTGCTGGTGATGGCTTTCCTACGCGTCTCGTGTCCCCCCCCCCAAACTTAGGATATCAGGGTAGAGTGTGCAAGCAATGTGGACTTTTGCAATGATGGTAACTGATTTGCAATAGCACTTAGACTTACTTATATACCACTTCAACAGTGCTTTACAGCCCTCTCTAAGCGGTTTACAGAGTCAGCATATTCCCCCCCTCAAACAATCTGGGTCTTCATTTTATCCACCTCGGAAAGATGGAAGGCTGAGTCAACCTTGAGCCGGCAGTCAGCAGAAGTATCCTGCGGTACTGCATTCTAACCACTGTGCCAGGACTGATGGATGGTAACTGATGGGCGGCAACTGATGGAAATTGAGACATTCAGTGCATAGGTTTTGTAGCACAGGAATAGGAATGTGGAAAATAAAGTGTGCTGTTTTTGCATCAGACTTAATTTAACATTTTTAAGAACATGTACTTAGAAAATAATGTGGCTTAGAATAAGAAGAAAGAATAAAAGTCGCTGGAGATTCTCAGTCATCCAGGTCATGGTTGTCCCAAAGGTGCTTTTTCAGGAGGCAACTGGACTTTCTTGTTTTTTCTTTTGAAGACGTTTTGCTTCTCATCCAAGAAGCTTCTTCAGCTCTGACAGGACAGTAGGGAATGGAAGGATTTCATTAGAATATAAACCCTTCCATTCCTCACTGTCAGTCAGAGCTGAAGAAGCTTCTTGGATGAGAAGCAAAATGACTTTTAAAAAAAAAACCAAGAAAATCCAGTTGCCTCTGAAAAAGTACCTTTGGTACAAGAAAGAGTAAAGTTAGAAGAACAGGGAATGTCTGTGGCCTTACAAAGAAAAGCTACCTGATAGAAACATGCCATCTGACAGTTTGATTACAAGAGCTTACAAAGAAGCATAGATAATAAAGAAACTGTTTATTTCAGTTTCTAATGCAAATTGGGATGAAGAAAGGTGGACCTTGTGGGCCAGGTGAAACTGCTCACTCACTGCTAAAAGCAAACAAGGGAAAAGGAGGGAACGAAGTAGAGGATGGTGCAGAGATGTAAAGAGGGAGGGGATTCACACAGGTGAAATCTAAATTCCGGAAAGGTTGCGAACTTTGTGGTCCTTGTCAAATGGGAAAACAAAGGAAGGGCTTGCCCTTCAGGTCAAGGGAATAGAATGACAAAACATCACAGGTGAGAGTGTGGGAAAGAGAATGAGGGAGGGAGGGAAAGAGTGTGTGTGTGTGAGAGAGAGAGATTGTGTGTGTAAGAGAGAGACTGTGTGTGTGAGAGAGAGAGAGAGAGAACGAGGGAGTGTGTGAGAGAGAGGGGGAGGGAGAGAACGAGAGAGGGTGAGTGTGTGAGTGAAAGAGGGAGGGAGGGAGAATGAGGGAGGGAGTGTGTGAGAGAGGGAGGGAGGGAGAGAGAACGGGGGAGGGTGTGTGTAAGAGAGATTCTGTGTGTAAGAGAGACATTGTGTGTGAGAGAGAGAGAACGAGGGAGGGAGGGTATGTGTAAGAGAGTGTGTGTGTGTGTGTGTGTGTGTGTGTTTGAGAGAGAGAGAGAGAGAGCACAAGAACCACAGGTGGAGAGCATAATACGCGAGCGCTGCCTTCCCGGTCCAGACCGCCCTAGTGAAAGTGGAAAGGTGGCGCGGCCGTGCAAAACGCCGCGGGAAAGGTTTTCTGCAGCCGCACAGGTGAGCGAGGGAAAGTGGGACGGTCCCGGAAAGCAGGGCAAGGAAGAGGAGACTCCCAGCAGGCCGGGATAGAGCTGGCGAAAGGCCAGACAGAGGCGCCTATCTCCCGAAGCCACCGCCAGAACTGCTCGCCGCGTCCTCCAGGCAACCTAACCTCCCTCTCTCTTCCCAGCGGCGCGTCTAGAGCGAAAGGGATGCGCCGAGAGGAGGCACGAAGCTCCCACTGACCCCCACCCCTCTTTCCAATGGGGGTTTGTTGGGAACGTGAGACGGCTGTTTATTTTCTTTGGACGCGAGCCCGGGCTCCCCCGCATCTCTGCAACGACGCCAGCCCTGCGGGGGCGAAGCAATTCCCCGGGGTCGCCCGGCTTTTGAGCTCTTGAGAAGGCAGCCTGCCTGGAGTTGTCTTGGGCTTTATTTCCAGGTAAGCGTCCTGCGATCCTACTATACCTGTTTGGTAAGCCTCGCTGAACTCAACGGCTTTCTTTCTTTCTTTTTCTTTTTAAGCGAGCATGTAGTGGGCTGCACTACTGCAGGTGGCATAATATTAGAATCAGGGAGATTTACTCCTTGGGAAATGCGGATTAAGATTCCCTGCCCTGGTCGATCCTGAACCCCACTGGGTCACTTTGTGCCATTTCAATCTCTAAACTTAACCTGGCTTGCAAGCTTGTTAAGAATATGAACAAAAGAACATTTTTAAAAAAAGAACTGATCTTTGGAAGGATAAAGAAGGATCCCCTTCTTTCTTTTAGCTTATATTCAAGGAAAGATGTGCTTTCTTCCTCTGCTTTCTTCCTTGCTACTAACCTGCCTTCAAGACATGTATACTGCACTGAACATATGAGTCAAAAAGAGGGCTCTGAAAATAAACACTGTCCAGTCCAGCTCAGCTGCAGGTGACCAAATGAACCGTGTTGTTTTCTTGGCAATAATTTACAACAGTTTGACATTACTTCCCCCTCCCCCATAGGTCTTTCCTCCTTCCCTATTATCCAGTCCAATTCAAGGCAGTAGCATTTCCCCTATTCAATTACCAATCAAATCTCCCACCCAGGTATGTTATTACGCCTAGGGTAAATGTATATTAGCGCTTGCCACACAATAACATATGCAATGCCATCACTGTGCACTCAAATGTGTTAATCTTTTGATAACAATAGGGGGAGAAATAATCGCCAAAAATTCATTTGTTTAATTTGCATGCACAGTATTTTAGATGCTGGGATTTTACAGAGTTGCAAACCTGTAAGTATACTTTGGAGATGTGGGAAATAAAACCAGAATCTTGTTGTTCTGCAGCTTAACAGACAGATGTTTTAGGGAAAAGATAAAAGGAAAACTGAAAACCACCGTAGCTCCTTCCCCTTCTTTCTTTTAGCTAATATTCAAGGAAAGATGTGGTTTCTTCCTCTGCTTTCTTCCTTGCTACTAACCTGCCTTCCATCGAAGACATGTATACTGCGTGGCACGACATAACCGCGAACGTCAAAAGCGCGCCGACAACACCGCGGCGCTAAAACCGTGATGTCAAAAGCGCGCCGACAACAGCGCGCCGACAACAGCACGCCGACAGAAGCGCGATTTAACTTAAGGTAAGGTTTAGGGTTAGGTTTAGGGTTAGGTTTAGGGTAGGTTTAGGGTAGGTTTAGCATTAGGTTTAGGGTTAGGGTAGGTTTAGGGTAGGTTTAGCGTTAGGGTTAGGT